CCATGTGGAGTGAATAGTGGCCATTTTTGGTCAAACAAAATGAGTTAATGATTAAAGTTTATGACAATTAGTCACAAGGAAAAAATTGATCCATTTTTATAACTTTAATTTAAGGGAATATTGATCTAAAATTGAGTTTCGGATATTAGATGTCCCTTAGCTAATAGTTTGAGTGTAAAAGTGACATTTAACCTTATACAAGAACAAAGGTGCAAGTGCTTAATGTATGGAGATGGCATAAATTCTTACTTGCTGCCCTAATAATTACCCTACTTTCACTTCTGTAAGTTAAACAATATACATGCAAATAAGAGTTGTCTTATGTATGGTATCAGAGTTTGGAACCTAGTGGGATCTTTGTCATATCAAGATGCTTAATGGGGCATCAATATTATCCTCTTAAATATATTTTATTGGTTGAACAAGTGATATCAAAGCTGAAACTCAATTATAATTTTCTTATTTCTTTTTATGATAAAAAGTTGGGGATATATATATATATAATTTATTCAAGAAAAATATTACATTTTAGATAAGTAAAAAAAATTAAGGACTAGAAAAAGAAAGTTATCTTGAATGACAATAAAAGCAATAGGATGAAAGTTAGACAGGAAAACTAAAATGTCATGGATTATCACATTGTGATGAAACTTGCTAGAGAGGATTAATTGAAAGAATTTTTTCTTGAAGCTAATAATATGCATTTTCAAACCAGGCAAAGCAAGATTAGAGTGAAAATTAATAACCCAAAATAGAGCAACACAGAGGAAAAGGAGATAGAACAAATGAGTGTTCCTAAAGGTTTTCTTAATAGCAAAACCATTGAGAAGTTGGTTTCTGGAGAAAAAACAACAATATAATAACTAATGAAATTTCTCTTCTTAATTTTCTTAAAACTGAAGATCTAATCTCTTGGTAGTGGATAATGAGTCAACTGTAACACCTCAAAAAATTAACCTTCAACAATTAAGAAATTAAGCATCATTAATAAAATTTATGTGGATGTAGTCAAAGGAGACTAATAAGTGTTTTTAGTTGGAATTTCAAGTATAATTTGGGTCCAAAGTGAAATTGGGTTACTTGGAGATCAAAAAGTAAAGAAAAATAAGTAAAAAAAGCCTCGGTGCCATATGCTGTGGAGCATGCATGGTGCACCACGACGCACAGGGCTAAATGACAAGAGATTTTTTTCTCTGTACCACATGCTGCAGTGCGTGGGCATAGGCTCCGCGATGCATAGTGTGAATTCTGTAGAAATAAGTTGTGAATTAATGCAAAAAATAAAAGGGAAAGAAAGGGAAAATGAAGGAATTCGTCCTTGCTCTGTTAGGGCACGATCTAGGAAAGGATTTAAGAAGGTTTAAAGCTTCAAATCATCTAAGGTAAGATTTCTAAACCCCTTTTCTCCCTTTCTCTTTCACTTTCTCAAAGATTTGAGTTAAGGTATGAATGATGATGATGGTTTTTTGCCTATATAGGTTATGGGTCCAAATCCATTGACTCAAATGTAGTTAACGAGAGTAGTTTAGAGTATTTAAACTTAGTATTGATGATTTTTGTTGTTGTTGGATGGTGAGCTTCATAAATGTTTGAAAATGGACATTAAGTTTATAGTTATGATGGTTGTTGAGGTATTAATGATAATGTCGGTATTCAATGAAGATATATAATGTTAAAGATAGTTATTAAACCTAATGGGTAGGCTTAAACTTATACAAAGTGGTCATTGGGTAATTTAGAAGTGGAAGATGAGAGTTGAGATGTATGTGTTTGGCAATGTTAATGAGTTAAAGAATTTATAATTGTAGATTGAGTTCTTGAACACTATTTTGGCTTGAAAATTCAAGCTCGAAAGCTATACTATTGAGGGATAAACCTTTGATCTCTCAAAGGTTTGAGGCAATCAAGAAAATCTTACTTTAGCTAGTTGTTTGTTAATTGTAATATAAGGTAAATTATGTGTTTAACATACAAATTGTGACTTGTGAATGGTGTAACATGCAATAAAATTTGCTGTTAACATAATTGCTTTGATGTATATTAAACATGTGAAAAATGGTTATGAAATTATTTGCATTTTTATAATGTGGTTTGGATGACTAATTGATAATGAGATTGATAAGATGAATATATGAGATTGAAAATGATGGGTTTTCTGTGATGTAAGTGAAAATAAGAATTGATGCTCAGTTGGATAATGCACGGTCATGAGCCCAATGTGTTGATTTTGATATTGAATAATTGAAATTGTGAAAATGGAGTGAGCATTGTCTGTGGCATGATTAGTGGGTAGGAGTTCACCTAAGGATTGAGAGTAGAGAAAATTCATATGGTATTTAGGCCGCCTTCCAGTGCATGGGGGTATAACATCTCACAGTTTGTCGAGGGACTATCATAGTTTGTCAAGAGACTAGAACCTAGCTTTTGCTACCAGTTTATTGAAGAGAATAACTTAGGGTATATGACACCCTAGAGATTTAAGAGTGGGGGAAGCCGTGGTTCGAGAGTGAGTTATGCGATCTTTGGCCAGGTCGTACCTTACAATTAGTGAACTTAGGGTGGTCCAGTCACACAGGCGGAGCCTTATTCAATGTTATAACCCACGGTTTTAGTCGGAAGAAAATAAGGAGGGTATAAGGTTGGTTGATCATTGTCTATGTAAATTTATGACGTGTCACATGATTGTGATGTGGCAAGTCGTGTGGGTATCGGGTTATGGTCACATGTCTTAGTGTCTTGTGACAATATACTTAGTGTATATGAGATAAAAGTGAGTTAAATGTAAAACGATAAGTTATTATGTGTACGTAAGCATGTTTTAAAAACTTAGTTTGATATGCATATGTTTATTTACAATTAATATATAACTGCATAGGGTAGGTTTTACCTTAATTATTGAGTAGCTAGACTCACCCTTTTCATTTAATATTTTTTAAGCTTTAGCTCTGGTGTGGAGAGGAAAAAGACTCAAGAGGCTATGAATTAGTTCATTCCTACTGTATGCCTTTAAATTATATTTTGTGTAATAGAATATTATTGCCAATTCTAAGTTGCATATTGTTACACTTGTACTATTTTTTTGTTGCAAATGTCTAAATTGTATTTTGGGCCTTGAGTATTTGTGTATGATGATATATATATATATATATATATATGTTAATAGAGCCAAAAATCTAGTACAAGTGTAAAAATAATGTTTCAAACATGTTGTGATTGGTTTTGATGCAATGAAAAGCAAATTACCTCCCCTTCTATTTTTGATGAAAAAGGAGTTGAGGAGTGTTTTTATATTATACTAGTATTTAAGTGCATATAATGTGTCGTAATGATAGTCTTAAGTCTAATGGATATGGTTTGGATATCAGGAATATCTTTTGGCATTTGTTATAGGTTTTTGACACCCTTTTTTATGTGAAAATTGTAAAAAGTAATAAAATGAAGTTTTGGTGCCCAACTCCTTGGTGTGACTTATTTTAAGAGTGAAAGCTATGTCATTAGCTAGTTCATGAGAAGAGCTTTCTATAGACACATAGATCATGTTATTCGGACATCGGACGGAGAATCGAGGTGTGTTAGAAGTTCCTGAATTTTGCTGTCAAATGACAGCAGAATCTGTTGTCAAGAAAATGTATAACACATCAAGATGCATTGGCACCTGAGCTGCAGTGTGTGGCACAAAGAGTAACAAGTACGGTGTAGAGTGCACAAGTTGCAGCGCATTGCCCTGTTTTGTAACGAATAATTTTTTTTTCAATTATTTTTGATTTCTTTTATTCCTCTGAAGTATCACATGCTTCCCTAACTTGTTATTTTGATATAAGAGTTTATAAATGCTTCAAACTCATTTTGATTTTGAAAGCTTGAGATCCCTTAATTTTAAAATTTGAAGTTTGGTAATCCTTGTGTTAAGTTCTTAATTACCATGATTTGAGTGGTTAATGGTGTTTAATAGTGAGGGTTATTACATCAACAAGGTATGAAGACATGAAGATGAAGCTACCTTTGAGAGTTCAACCTAACTATAAATTTTCTCTATTATAAGCCCTAGATATAACCAGTGTGCTTTGGTGAATACCTTGATGAACATGCAAGCTTCTTGACTTCCACATGGTGTTCAAAATAACAATAATTCGTATAATCTAATCATAACTCTTGCAAGAATACAAGAATTGAAATGAACTCAATAACCAACTTATGAGACCAATGTGGGAAAAAGAAGCCCTGATGTTTAGCCATTCAAATCAAAGGGATCTCTTCAAACATTGATCTTATAAAAAAATAAAAAGAATTTGATAAGAGTAATACATTAGAAGTTGCTTAGTATGAGAACAAGTACATTATCAATTCTAGAATACTTTTTTCAAGTTGCTAATTATAAATGTATTTATTTGATATAGGAAGAAGTGAAGAAGTCCCAAATTATTTGGTGTTAAGTGGAGGCTTTTTGAGTGATGTCCTATAAAATTCAAAGCTATTAAGACACTATTTTTTTGTAGCATCAAGAGAACATTAGGTTCATGGATAAATGCAAGAAATTTGATTTCTAAATTTTTAAAGTTTATAAATTTTTTACGGTTGACTTTTAAAAATTAAAGTATTACTATTTCAATAAAAATATTATTTTGAAAAATTATTTTATAAACAGTTTATTGATCAACATCTATGACAAGAGACACAATGACTATATCCAAGAGATTTGAATATATTTTACCGTAGTCTATAAAAAATATAAAATGAACCTATTTTAACAAATTTGCGGGACTTATAAGTCTTATTTGATTATACATAATTTTTCCAATAATCTAATTAGTAAAGTGTCTCTTTTTCTCAGGACAAAAAATCTCACTAAATTTCTAAACGAGCTAGCATAAAATTAATTAATATTATGATCCATCCATATGAGTCAATAACAAGTGTTCTCTATCCACAATATTAAAAGATAAACACAAGACTTTTTCTTTTTATACAAAAGCAACATAACAAATTAAAATAAAAAAAATATAATATATTTACAGTTCTTTTTTTTTTCAAGAGGAAAGACAAATATATGGTTGATGTTTGGGAGTGGTCTGGATAGGGAAATCTCTAAACACAGTTCCTCAAATATGTGGCAATTAGTAGCTTACACTATATATTACAATAAATATAACTATTCAACAATAAAAAGTTTATCATTATCTCTAATCAAATCAATCGAGTCTATCTCTGCTCCTCCTTCATCAATTACTATTGCATCTTTTGCATCAAAGGCAAATCTTTCACCTATCAAAGAAGACAAGGTGCACAAACCAAATCAAATTACATGTTGAGACCTTAATTTAATATATATTTACAATTTTGCTGCAAATTGTCAATAATTTTAGGACCAAGATTTTCTAATGCCTCTTGGGCTTTTTTTTCGGCAGAATATGAATGAAAATTTTTTAAAAGAATTTAATATCTAACAAGGATTTTTGACAAGTAAATGTTAATAAATTAACAAGTGAAATTACCGTTTTAACAAATATACGATCTGTCTAGACCATTGTCAGATATTAAATTCTTTCAGCGTCCTTCAATGATATTCTCCCCTTCTCTTTGTTTAAGAATTAGAAAACTTGGACCAATAATTTGAAGAATTTACCTGCAATGCTCTTGAGCTCTTCTATTGAGTTAGGCAGCCTTATCATCTTGCCAGCTTCAATGCAACCTTGTTCTCTTCTCAATATAGGATGGCCTCTAAATATGCTAACTCTTGAATAGATTTGCCTATTATTATTATATCTTCCCCAAACGTGCTCTTGCCCTCCTCCTTCATGTTCATGGCCGTTCTTGAAAAGCAATTGAATCATGTCCACATGATTCTTTTCCAATGCAACTTGCATTGCTGTTGAACCATGGTGATCTTTGGACTCTATGTTTAAGCCTTGCTTTAGAAGCTCACTCATCACTTTCAGGTCATTTCTCTTTGCTGCTTTACAGAGGAGATCACCTGCTGTGTGTGGATCAGATAGTGCAGAAAGCTGGTACAGGATTCTGAATATTGAGTAACACTTTGAAGCTATGGCGTCCCATAGTGCAGTGTTGCCATTTATGTCTGTCCAAATTTATAAGGGACATTAAATATATAAAGCACTCCAAGAGTGGCTAAGGTATACTTCCTCTAGTCCTAATTATAAGGCAAAGTTTTAAAATCCTAAACGCACTTTTATGGTAATTAATTTTAGTGAAGGGTAAAATTGGAAAGTTAAATATTACTTACAATTTTAAGGATATTAACTATCATTCCTTAAAAGCTTTGAAGTTAGTTAGCTTTTCCCTATGATTAGGATTGGACTATATACTGGAGAGGATATACAAGAAAGGGTATAAGAGTAGTGCAATATACCTCTTGCATGTACGTTGCATGCATGATTAAGTAACACTTTTACACACTCTTCATGCCCTTTTAATGCTGCTATGTGCTATACATATCACAATAAATTGTCACTCTTCATGAATATATATCCATGGTTTTATAAATGTGTGTGTAAGGTTGTGAACATCAAACATACCAATGGGGTTTTGCCTTCGGAGTCTGCAACACTAGAATCCAAGCCTGCCTTTAAAAGCTCTTCAAGAAAAGCAGCATTGCCAGTTGAGGCCACATTTAACAAGCTCACAGCCATATTTGGGTCATCTTCTCTATTCCAATCAATCACCAGTTCTTTAGTATTTAGATCGTGAAGCTTCTTCAAGTGCTGCATTTAGATCACTTGAACTGACTTATGCATTTAAACAATTTCAAATATGACAGAAGAGAAGATTATTGATAAAACTAAGGTACCATAGGATATTTAAGTGGATTGGTACTCAAAAGCTCTAATACCATTTGAAGTGAAGCTGTCACGAGTCGAATTACTCATTACCTGAAGGAAATTTTTTAGCATTTGTATATTGTCTTCCTTTTTAGTCTGCATTATCTCCATAAAATCACTAGTTTTGAGTCTCAAGAGTTGTGTGAGAGTCTTGGTTCTGTAAGTAAAGCTTTGAGGCTTACAACAAATTGCACTAACTTCTCCAAACATGTCCCATCTTTGTAAAATCCCTAAAACTTTCTCTTTGTTTTCAGAATCAATGATTTCCACTTCTCCAGACACTATTATGTAAACATCCTCCGGTGCTTCACTCCGTATGATAACATCTTCTTTTGGAGGTATATACTCAGCCTTCATTTTTGCAGCCCGCACATTGATTTCTTTCAAATTAATCAACTTGATTAACAAAACCTATCATAGGTTTCCACTAAATATTTTCATCTTTTTAATTGAAATAGTCTCTGATGTTGTATCAAAGTTTTCATGACCAAACAGCTTGAAGTTTAATTCCATCTATTTCTCATCCTTTGACTTTACTAAGTTTCTGCAGAAATTTGATGAACCCATGCTTTTGCCAGAATTTGAGTGAGTAATTAGATATTATAGTGGAAGAAAAGATTTAGATAATGTCAATGACTATTATAGAGTACTAATTATACAATGTTCTGTAAAAATAAAAATCAACCCGTCATGTTTGTATAGGAAAACTCAGTAATATGACCTAAAAGTCACATTATATACTTATACTCTATTCTATAACAATAATCAGCATTCAAAGACATTGATTTAAAAGTATAAATTTTAAAGAGTGTTGATATGTACCAAGGACGACAAGATCTCCCTTGAGACACCTTTAAAAAGATAAACTTTCTCCGCAGCAGGAAGGAACAAGTGTTGACAAATGGTTTTGCATATTGATTTTGGCAATTGTTCCATAAGCTGATGATGGTTTAAGCTCTCTGCCTTGTATCTTAAGCACATATAAGCAATGATCTGCTCTTTCAGCCTTGGAGAAACTCTATTTCGGCTCACAAAATTTGATGCTGCTTCAATGTTGTTTCTCTGGATCAAATGCATAAGTAAGACATCAAAATTTCATTTTCTATGCGCATTAGTATCCTCCTATTCGAGACGCAATTTAGTACTAAATGTAAGTACCCCTCTCAATAGAGATTCAAACATTAGTTCATTAAAAAGAGTGAAATTTGGTTTTGAGGTGTTTGCTACTTTTCCTTCTAATGTCCAAAATCTTAGCCCTTCATTTGAGCTATTAGTTAAATATTTTTTGAACATTAGCTGAAATGAAGGGCTGAGATTTTGAGAAGGAACAATTGTATTCAAGGACTTACAAAGAAAGTTATTTGTAGACAAAAACTAATAATAAGTCATTATTTGAGAAAAAATAAGTCTATATTTCTATTTTAATAACAATCCATTTTATAATAGTCCTCGTCAGCGAATAACTTTCGTCACAAGTCCTTGGATGCAATTTTCCCTTTTGAGTATAAAAAGGGTTAACAAACACCTTGGATTTGTAAAATTTATGTTAACAATAGATAGATTTAAATAAGAAATGGAATGATACATACAAATTCCATGGTACGACAAGTTCCTTGAACAACAAGATTGGTCATGCTGCCAATCAAGTAAGCAATGAGGCCAAGATTGAAGAGCATGTAAGAAATGGTGAAGGCCATCTCCATGGGATTGACAGCATGAAAATCACCATAGCCAACAGTAGTCATGGTGGTGAGGGACCAGTACATGGCTGATATGTATCTTATCCAAATGCTTGTCTCTTTGAAATCTGGATTCAATGATCCTATCCATGTCTTCCCTAGATGAGGGTACACGTCAGCTAGCAAGTAGTAGAGGCACCCTCCACAATGTGCTATAAAAAACGTTACCTGTACACATCAATATCAATACAAAATATAAAATAAGTAACAAATCATACTCTTACAACAAGAATAAAGGAAAAAAAAAGGGAAAAATCAAATGAGAAAGAACTCAACAAGAATAAAGAAGAAAAGTAACACACACAAAGAAGTCTAACACATCTGACCCAGAAATAGCTGAACCTGATATCTTTCTCAAGCCTGGGCAATGGAATCACATGGTCATAAATAGTAAGACAAACACATGTTCAACATATATATAGATATATATATGAATAACTAATAAATAAAAAGACCTGGTGAAGTATTGCTTAACTCTTCGGAGCCTCCAGAGTCTAAGGATGCCCAAGAGGAAGAAAGTAAGACCCACTTTGCGTTTGCCTGTGAACAAATAACCTAATGCCTCATATGGGATGCTTGATGCCACATCCATTATGAACCATGTCGATACGTACCTATTACCATTTTACCCCCACATCATTATTTCCATTACTTATTTTATAATAATACTTCGCCTAATTCTTTTTACTTCAATATCTTTTTTCCAACTTGTACATAATAATTTTTCACCATTAGGTGCCATTTCACATGTTAATTCACCATGCCCATTCTATAATTAGTCAAAACCATTATACACATTTTTTTTTTTGGTTGCCCACCCAGTATCTTATATACAAGACTTGAACTCAAGACGACCTTGCTTAAATGAAACTAAATCATTTACCACTTGAACCAACACCTGATAAACCATTGTACACATTGATTCAAATGAGTTGTCTTGTAGAAAATCGGGTGAATTGTAGGGTGTCGGTGGCATGGTAAATCATGGGGCCCATAGCTTAAAGTGATTGGGCCCATTTGTGACCTTTCCATGCCAAATCTCTTATCTGTTTCGTGACGTGCGGGTTCCATTTTTTAATTTCTACTATTTATAATATGAAGCTTCCAGACATCTTTTAATTCCCTAATAATAATAAATAATTTAATAAGAAAATATAGCCAATTGTTTGTTAATGAATAAACTGGAATTATTAATTATCACCAACCTACTAACAACTACATTTCTTATATTAATTGTTTGTTAATTTAATTGACGTTTTCTTTTTCCGTGTTGCTTTGTATTGAGCTTTGACTCTCCTTTAGAAAATATTTCCTTTTCTGGTCAAAAATAATATTAACAACTTTACTTTTAATATTAACGACTTTAATTTAGATTTTAACCACTAGGCTTTCTATTATTTTTTTAGGGACAAAACATAATTTCACAATAAAATTATGTTACATAAATCTTTAGGAACTTAATATGGTAATTACCCCATATTATCTGGCTGAAAAAAAAAATTACCCCATTTTATGTTACTCTTTTATCATTTGCCTATTTTTAATGAATTTTTTTTACTATTCCCTCCTTTAAAATTGGATTAAGTGCATTTTTGTTTTAGAAATATTTTCATAACTTACTTCGCAATACTTTAAAGCTAAAAATGCAAATTAACCCTTTAAAAGTAAAATTCACAAGCCTTTTGGGGTTGTGACTAACCTGAGAGCAATTTGTTTGGAGTCTCGGACAAGTAGTTGAGTAGAACGATCAATGTAAGCAAGGAAGAAAGTGAGAACAATGTCAACGCCAAAGAAGAGATCGACAACATTATCCACAATGTAGAGTTTGTGAGTTGGAGATGACATCAGAAACCCTATTTCAAAGGGATATACCCATGCTGAGTACCCTACCAGAACAACCATGAAACTCTCCCAACACCTGCACACACCATTCTCTTTCTCTTTACTTCTAATCACAACTAAATTCAGCACAATTTCATTAATGTATTATTATATATACACCGTCATCAATGTAAGTTGATCAAGCCAGACATTGAATATATTAAGGTATTGATTTAAAGGTTAATGATTAAAATTATAGCCAAAGTGTCAAACCTTGGTTAGATTAATTCTGAACAAAACATTTCACTAAGCGCATGGTCAAGGTAGGTTCAACAGTGTACCGGTTCAACTATCCAAATTGGCCCGGTTTTGAATAATACGATTTTAATTAGAATAAACATAAGGGAGTTGTTAGGAAAAGTTAAGCATGTGTGTGTGTGTGTTTTTTTTATAAATAGTTTATGAAAAAGTTGGCAACAAATGTTTTAATACATTCAACTTTCTCAAGACCGCTACTTCATGTTTAGTTTTAACTAAAAATAATTTTTTCTAAAATCTTAAATAAACACGACTATAATCTCATATTTTACAGGGTGAAGATTCTCTTCGAATACAGGAGAACATGATTGAACAGAGAATCAAATAAAAAATTGTGGGTTCCACATATCAAATAACATTTACAAAAACTACTCATTTCTTTTGCCATATAGATTCCAAATCTAACTGGTGAAAAAATTAAGTCCAAAACCCATTTTATATTCACAATATGCAGGGTAGTTTATTTTATAATTCTCAATTATCTGGAAGGCCTCTTTTAAAACAAGATTAGTTAAGCCATTAGTTTTTTATCATTCCAAATTCTTCTTAAAGAGTATTATTAGTACGGATCGAGAGAGAGAGAGAGGTTACCCGTATCTGGTGTCCATTGGGGATATGATCCATCCCTTGGGGTGAGCTGGATTGTGATTATAACTTGAAGCACCCAATGGAGGAAGAATCACTTTTGAAACATTTTGAAGATTGAAAGTCGGAGACTCATAGTCTTCTTCAAGATGAGGCTGTTCCAAGTCTTGATGATTCTGCTCTTCTTTCTGCTCATCATGATGATTCATGTGTGACCCTGCAGATGAATCCCTCTCCATGTTTCTTGCAGAAAGAGAAGGAAAATGAGAGAAAATTGGTCTTATTCGGAGAGTAGAAGAAAGAAAAAGCTTGCATAATAATTCTGAGGGTAAAGGAACATGCTAGGCCTCTCATTTGGACTATTAAGTGAGACAGTGACTCTGAAAATTAGGTGAGAGATAGAAAATAGGTTTAATGTCAAGTATTAACACCTTCATTGGCATTTTTTTTTCTTTTTTGATTATTTTTTTAGGTGTTGCTGGCACCTGTAATTGATTGATTAATGCTACCATTTGGGATCAGCTCAATCTCTACCCCAAAAGGTGGGGACAATGGAATGAAGATTTTCAATCATTTCAAGTGACATAGAGTTATATGCTACAATTTCCAAATTTAAATTGTGCCTTACAATTCTGTCTGTTCTCATAATTTTTAATTATTTTTATAAAAAGGAAGTGTTCAAATGAATGGTATGAGAATGAAAATAAATTTTAAAATTATATGGTCCAGCATGACTTAATATTTTTTTAGTATAAAGATAGTCCAAGTGTCAAAATTTGTAGGAATGAAGCACTGTGTACAAATCAAATGGAAGTTGAATGCTCTCAACCAATCATATTTAGAACTTGGATTGACCGGTGGATGACAAACCCTTATGGGTTTGCTTTTTCACTTTTTATTTTTGCCCATTCATTTCATTCATTCATTCACTTTTTTTGGGTAACAACTCATTCATTCAATTAATATAACATCAAAAACAAAATCCTGTTACCATTAATCAATTACTATCAATTGTTAGTCAAATAAAATCTTTTAAATGTGACAAAATCATGTTAAAGTGTAAACTACATTTATAGAGAGCAATGAGGAATAAAGAATAAAAAAAGAAGACATGACTAACAACCCAATCCCGAATCCATTAATTTAGAATATTTTAGTTTGCATTTTAAGATATAAATGTGTAATATTATAATGTCAAATTTAATTTTTCTAGAAAATTAGTAAAAAAACTAAATAGACTCCTAAGTTGGATCAATAAGAATCTGGGTTAAAAAAATATCAATTTTAAAAAACTTCGTAACCTTTCGTTCAAAAAAAAAAAAAACTTCGTAACCTAACTCACCCAAAAAACAGGTAAAAAAAAAAAAAAAACTCATACAAAAAGCTATTAGGGGACCATAGAATGTGGGGCCCATCATCACTATTAAAGTCGGCTAGAGGAAGGAAAGTGTCACCAATAATTAACAGCCAACGCAACGGGACTATCAATTATGATTGAGAAACATTATCGGTTGTCGTGCCATGCATGAAAATATTTTAAAATTTAAAAGGTAAAGATAAAATAAAAACATAAAAATTTTAAAAACAATGTATTTTACTGACTCAAAATTTATTATTTTATATAAATTAAAATATAAAAAATAACTTATTCTATTCTCAAATTTATTTTTTATAAAGCATATTAAAAATATAAATAATAATTTATTTTATTTTAAAATAAATGGCCTGGATTTAGATTGTGTCAACACTCTCATTTGTGCTTTGGTAAAAAAAAAAAAAATTTCATTTGTTTTTTATCAATGTGTGGGCAAACCTTAAAATTAGGTTAAAAGCACTCTCTTTTTTAAAATAGAATCTCACCTTTCAATAAAATAATTATTTATTTTTAAACTAACTCTATTTTTTTATATTTACTCTTATTAAATATTTTATAATAAATATAAAGTCATTCATCAATAAAGGCATTTAAAAAAATAATTATACCTTAAAAAATTAAAAATACCTTACATTTGTGAAGGTCAAACTTCTCAAAAAATGCCTTATATTTTTTAATGAAATGATTAATTTTTAGAGAAATTTTCCTCCTATAATTAATTGAATAAGAAAATTTGCCTCTATCACAATATAAATTAAAATTTAAGCAACAACTTTTAATTAGTACTGTGTTATCTTTATGCATATTGAAATATATAAATGACTTTTAAATTTCTCATTTTGGACAAATTAAAATATACTACTTGTAATTAGATGGGGAGAGAAAACCTTTTGGTGATATTTATAAATTATATTATTAAATTTTTATTATAATTTTTTTACCCTTTATGAGAGAAAATATATTATTAAAGTGTATATATATAATAGGATAAATTTGAAAATTTATTAAAATTCTAAACAAAACTAATAAGTTTTAAGGTTTTCTTATTTCTAATGAAACATATTAAAAGTGATTTATAAATAAAATTAAAATAAAAAAGTATTATAACAACCCTCTACTAAAATTTATGTCATAAGAAAATAACATAGTTGATATTATTGTATTATTTATCAATAATATATATGACAATGACAAGAAAGGAAATGACTAAGAAGTTTAGAAGGTGTGCAATGGAATAAGTTTATCAAATTATTCCCATACTCATAAAAAAATTAATGCATGATTATAAAATTTTAAGACTTGATTGATAAAAATAAAATTCTGGGAACCGAATCAATAACTAAATTAAATTTGAGGATTAAAATATTTTTATATTACTTACAAATATTCTTTTATTAGGTGATAAAATTTTTTATCTTTGTTTCTTTGTATAAGTACAAGACTCAAATATTTTCTTTTCTTGTTGTCATTTTATGCTTTACTTTTATTTATAGGACTTTTTAATTATTAATATCATCATTTGACCTTTTTATATAAAAGTGATCAAAAATTTTATTATTAAAAAATATATTTAAACTTTGACCCCTTATTTTTTTTGGGCCGAGGAATGGCCATGTAACATCATATTGTAGGCCCTTTCTTTGGTTTAGTTGTGAGCCATTTCCATGGGTTAAGCTGAGATATGGACTTGGGCCAAGATACATGTAATGTGTAATCGGAGTAAGCCTAAAAAAGTCAGCCTATCATTAAAATTATAATCAGAAAATTAAAGGGGTAGTTGGACTGACTTATTGTGTATTATCATCCAAAAAGTTTGCTGTTTGGCCACTTAAATATCATTCAAAGGTTTGACTTTTGAAGGTGTGTATAAAAAAAAAACCTCTTAAGAGAAATAATTTCTTAAATAGTACTCAAATTTTTTTGTGGAATTGGTCTCATGATTACCCATTATGGATATAACTTGGGTAATTAAAAAAAAAAAAAGAGTTGGCGTCTAATGAAAGAAAGCCAACCAAGATAATGGTGAATATCGAGTTTATAATTTATGATAGGAAAGTCAACAAAACTTTACCTTGTAATTCTTGTAGTGGTATATTCTGCAGGTCTTCACACTATTTGCTCGTACAAATCGCCCATTTCAGTGACTTCTTTCTCTACTCTATCACAACTTTGATCGTACACTCGTTAAAAAAAAAAAAACAAAACAAGTATTATTGATTGGCCAATGTCAAAAATATTTATATACTTTTGATTTTCAAAGCCTGGACATACAGTAGTTTTATAATGGACGCCACATAATTTTTTTTTAAAATCATATACAATATAAAATATATGCAAATTTAACTATTTAAAAATTATGAATAATGCAGTTTATAGTAAGAAGAAAATGATGGATTCAAGGGGGCAAGCCGGGGTTCTTTTCCGAATACTATAAAGCGTTCTATGTAAATACGTTTATTTTTAAGGATAATAAATTTTTTAGTCTCTCAAATTTATTTAATGATTAATTTAGTTCCTAAAATTTAATATTTATCAATTACATCTTTAAGATTTCATAACCATATACAATTAGTCTTTCTGCTTCTGGCATCATAAAGACCAATTATGAATGGTTATGAAATTTTAAGAATTTGATTGATAAAAATTAAATTTTAAGGATCAAATTAATAACTAAGTCAAATTTAAAGGGTTAAAAGTTTTATTATTATTTATTTTTATTTATAAAAAATGTTGAAATCAATTTTAGCTCCCATATGATGGTTTGTACTTTCTTGATTTGCCATTAGGAGGTCCTTTTATTTGAAATTTTTTTTTAGTAAATCATCCGATGTTTGAAAGTCAACAATTACAACTAATTCAAATTTAATCAAGTTGAAATTCTTTTTGGATGAAAACTCTACTACCAAATGCTTAGAGTCAGAAATAAAAATTGAGTTTGAAGGGCCACCCATAACGGTTCGAGCTTAAAAAAAACACATTTTTTAAGAAAATTGAGTTTTTAAGCCCGGTTTTAATAAGCCTTAAAAAGAGACTTGGATGGCTCTTTTAAGCCCTTTTTTATTTTTTCCTTAAAAATAAAATATTTTTAATTTTTAAATTAAATTTAAAATTTAAAATATATGTTTATACTTTAAAATTAGAATTTCTATTATTTATTTTTAATTTTCAAACATTATAATTTGTATTTTTTAAAAATATGTGAAATATTAAAATTAAAAATTTTAATTTTTAAAAATTTCAAAAAATAAAAAAATAATAATAAGAGCTTACAGGCCTGATCCTAAACTCATTATATAAGGGTCAGATTTTAAAAAATAAAATATTTTAAGAAAATCAAACTTAAGAGCTCAAGCCCTAAAGGATAGGGCCCATATAAGCTAAGCCTATTTATTTTTCAACTCTAAAAATATCGTAGATTTTTTTAGACTCAAAATTGAGACATAGGGTTAAGCTGATACATCTCCCTTGTCACTTGAATTATACACTTGTTGATTGCATTTATTTGATTAGTCTAATGGATGGGCGATATCAAAGTGCATTATTATTAAATATAATATTAAGAGGAGAATTATGGGGTTAAGATGTGGGATAGTTTGTCATCTTCCACTTTACGTGATGTAAAGGCATTGGTGCTGTCTTTGTGAGTTGTGACTAAGCATGTTGCCTCACCATTTCTGTGCCATTTTCTTCTTCTTCTCATGACATCTTTCTCTTGTTATTGCGGGTGGTTCTCACGTCCCATCGCGTAAAAGTCAAACTTTCTTTTTTATTTTTCACTTAAGCGCACAATGGAGATACCTTAAATTTCAATAAGATTATCCTGTGTGTTTTCCTAAAAAGTTCACCCCGTGTCATATCTGAGTTAAAGTTGTTTTAGTCCTTAAAAAAATGGTCTCTATAGTTGGAATTGAGGTAGTAGTTGTTATCATTTATCAGTTTGGCTAAATCTGAATTAATCTAAGTCATGATATTAAAATCTCAAGTTATAGTCAGACTATTGAACTTGTGAACTGATCTTTTTACCCATCCAGCAAAAGTTTTGAATGGGTGATCAACTGGATATATATATATATATATATATATATTTTTCTCCCATTAGTGAACTTGAAACAGCATTTGGAGTTTATAAAATAGAAATCCGTCATATCTGTGCTTTAATCATTCTGTTTTGTTGGATTATTTGTGATTCATACATAAATGCTTCATTACTTGTAAATTAATTCCTTTTTATTTATATAGTACTTCCTGCAGGGTTATATATAAATATTTTTGTATACTTTTATTTTAACTGAGATTTTTTTTTTGGGGCGGGGGGGGGGGGGAGCTCAGGATTTGGTTGACCCCATGTATATATTTTGTTTTATAAATTTTGTTAACCATTATAAAACATCTTTATTCATCAATACTTTTTGTTTTACAAAGCTTCTAGGTTCTTTAGTACGCATAAAAGAAGATATCCTTTCCCAATAAAAAATTGTCTCCCTCAAATGTTTCTTGAAGCAAGGAGAACAAACCACACAACTCAGACAAAACTTGCAAAGAGATCTTGTCCAAGAAAGAAAAACCTTCAGATCTATCGAGTCTAGGAGCATGTATAACTGTTAATGGTTTTATAATAATGGCATATAAATTCCTTGGTAAGTGGGAAGTTGCAAGTTTAATTCTGCTTGTAACTTCTATATGCTCAGACGACATATATTTACAAGCCTGCAGAAAGCCATCTAAAGGTTCTAAACTACTCTCCCAAAAATAACAAAAAGAATGGATGAAACAAAGTTGAGAACCAAAAAAAATAAAAATAAAAAAAAAAGCTTGACCTGTTTGTTTATAGCTGACATATGAAAAGAAAATGAAGAGAAATAAAAGGTTTTGGAAGTTAGATCTAGGCCCTCAGATCCTTTTGAAGTGCTCAAATATTTCCCATGAACCTGTTTTAAGCATAGCCATCAGCCTTGCAAATTCATCAAATGATGAAATAGGTACTGATATCCAATATAGCAGGACAAAGAAGAGGAGCAAGGAATAGGTGAAAAAAAAAAAAAAAAAACAGACCACTCTCTTCATCTTGTAAAAGAAAGACTAGCACTTCATTGCACTTGAATTTACATTTTTCCCTATATATATACAAGAGCCTAAAGCAAAAACATCCAAGAAAACGAGGAAGAGAATATATGAAAACTGCAGAACTCTTTACCAATTAACAAGCTAAACTAAGACCTATTTTCTTATACCTATTCTCAAATACTCAAGTGAATTATAGTTTCTTTGATAGTTGATGTAAAGAGACATCAGTTCTAATCATGCACGGCTCGCTAAGTTTGTTCACACTTCAGAACAAAGGTGCAAGCCAGGCCTATTGGCATTGCAAGCTTCAGCTCTTGAGATGTTGACAGCAATTGATCATATCAAATTCAACTACCTCATGATACTCATCAGGTTATGAACTTCAAATGAAGTCAATTTATCAGCAAGATTCAATTAAACTTGAGACAAGCTGAAAAGCGAAAATTGCTCCCAGCTTCGTTGAGACTTTTACGCAATGCAAGGAATTAAGAAGTTGACTTGTTCATTCATTACCTGAGCATGTCTCCACTGCGCAATTTTGGGCCACTTAACGCTGGAGATATGCTAAATGTATTGTTACCATCATTGTAAAATGACGGGTGTCCAAGAGGCATAGGCCGGTCAGGGATTTCTGGAACTTCAACATCACCTTCCAACATCTTCAAAGCTTCAGAAATTGTTGGCCTCAAAGCAACCATCACATGAGAACATAGAATTCCCACAAGCAAAAACCTTTCCATTATGCTCCTAGGATTAGAACTAGGACAATCGCCATCTTTTAGAAGGGAAGCATCCAAAGCCTCGTCTATGTTCCCAGATTTCACCAAGGACCATGCCCAATCTGTGATTAAGAATGCCCTTGGAGATCCTGATAAAGACAAATCAAGAGCTTTTCTCCCGCACATTATCTCCAAAACAACCACACCAAAGCTATAGACATCACTCTTCTCAGTAAGCTGACCATATAGTGCATACTCAGGGGCTAGATATCCATGAGTTCCAGCCACTCTAGTAGTGAGATGAGACTGACCTTCCCTGCTCTGCTTAGCAAGCCCAAAATCTGCAACTCTTGCCCTCATATCTGCATCAAGCAGTATATTGGTGGCCTTGATGTCCCTGTGATAAATTGAAGGCTTAACTCCATAATGCAAGTAACCCAATCCTTTTGCCACATCCACGATTATGCTTTTTCTCTGTGGCCAAGTCAATGATCTATTTTCATTTTGATTGCCCACTGATGATGGGAAGAGATGATCTTCAAGATTACCATTTGGCATGTAGTCATAAACAAGATACCTTTGACCTCTTTCATCATAACTCTCGCCCTCCTCAACCACACAACACCCTCTAAGTGGCACCAGATTACGGTGCTTCAGATTACTAATAATCTCAACCTCATTGCAGAACTCAGCATCCCCTTGAAAATCAGATTCCAAAATCCTCTTAACTGCTACCACCGATCCATCAGCCAAAGTTCCCTTGTAAACCATCCCAAACCCACCTCTTCCTATGAAGTTTTTAGATGAAAAACCATTAGTGGCCTTCTCAAGCTCCTCAATCTTAAACCAGATTGACCCAGTATTTGGCCTCAATCTAGGCCTAGATCCTTGCTCTTCAGGATCAATATCAAACCGAAAGCTCTCCTGTTTTCTCCTTCTCCACCTCCTATCATACCATAGATACAGACCCAACAAAGTGAACATGACTAATAACCCAACCCCAGCTCCAGTTAACCCCAATACAAGAGCTTGATGGCGACCATTTTCTCCAGAGTCCAAAGTCGGATAAACCGACATGCCAAAAATGCAAGTCACAGCGCCATTACTCTCCGGTCCAAACTCATTCACAATACCAGCGGCATACAATATAGCGAAGTGAAAGCAATTTGTGGCGTGGGAAGAGTTACCATCAATGTTTGTAAGTTCCTGCTGAACCTGAAAACCCGCCGCCACGCACGCACCGCATAGAGTAAGATCAGTAAGGTCCGGTTTGCATCCCTGGTTAAGCGGCGTAGTTTGTCCGAGCTTTCCGATCCAATCAGGAATCGTTTGGATTTTCGCGCAGACGTTAGGGCTAACCACAAATTGAAGCGGGTCGAAGCAAGCTGAGGTGAGGTCATCAGGCAGAGAGAGGGAAGAGAGCTTGGATTGGAAGTCATGGAGGCAAGAATTGGAGGTACGAAGATCAGGAAGGTTGAACATGGAGGCTTCTTTAAGGTATTGAGCAAGCCCTATGCCAATTAGGGACAGTAAAGTTTGGCAACAATGGCTTCCTCGAGTGTCATTTAAGGTTTGCAAAGGATGGAAATTTTGGCACATGGAAGAGTTCCACGGGATTCTGAGCACATAGTTCAGATCCAAAGGGCACGTGGATTTGTTAACAGAGGGAGAAGAGGAATGATCTGCAGAGCTGAGAGTAAGAAACATGGAGAAGAAGAGAAAGAGAAGCACCACAAGAATCTTCATATCTTCGGTGTTTTTCTCACACCCTCTTGCGTTAAAGCTTCTGGTTACGCATTAGCGGTTCAGGAGATGATAAGAGTGAGAGAGATGAGAAGCTTAAGTGGAGTGAGGGAGACGAAAGAAAGAAAGAGACGATCACCATGGATGGTCAAAAACCGTTTTGCTTCCTTTCTCTCTCTCATTCTCTGGCTGCTGGTTGGGTTAGGTGTATTAGGGCGGTAACAACAGGAGCGTGTTGTCACACGCGATTAGTGAGAGACAACGATCAAATTGAAAATAGATTCGGTACTCGCAAAATAAAATAAAATAAAATGTTTGACCCTGAGAATGCACCGGAGATTCTAGAAAAACAAATGCAAATCAAACCGGACATACGTTATTAAATCTTTTTTTTTTTTTTCATTCAGTCTGAAAAAACAAATTCCCACAAAGAACAAAAAAAAAAAATGCGAAGTTGCGAAGTGATGCGCACTATAGAGGAAGTTATGCACGCGCTTTTCTTGGGGTGGGCACATGCGTGGGGCGGCTACACACGTTTTTCCTTTCTAAAGTAAAATACTCTGACTTTCTCAGTCCACAAGTTAGAATGGCAATACTGACAATGAAATGGACAAGAACTGAAAGAACATGGCTTTAAGATATTTTTCATGTCCCTGTCCAATTCAATAGACTACCATATTCTTTTCCCTTCTTAAAATCACCGCCAATTAATGTTTTTTTCCCCTGCTGTTTTCTTGTACCTCATGCTTAACATGTGATTGCGTTGCTTCTATATAATTGGTTCATACTTTAAAATAACTATTAATTAATTTTAGTGTTTGCTTCATGTTTTAACTTAATAAATCACAAGTCTACCTGTGGGTGATAATAAATCATGGACAGTCCTTTAAATTCATTCTTTCAAGATAATTAAATTAAGTATAGCATGTGCCAAAATTCACAGTACCTATTACTTAAATAAATGATTTTTTTTCCAAAAAAACATAGGAAAATGGTGATGGCTTTTTTCCACTGTACTCCCCTCATGCAAAATATAAATATTTTTTTAGTTAATTTTAATTCAAAATATAAACAATCTAGTATATGTAAAAAAATTTTCTCTATTTTAAGTCTTATATTTATTAATTTAGATATTTATATAAATGTATCTCTCACTCATTATATGGTGCATTAATAATTGGGACAAGGTGTATAAATAAAAAATAATATATATTTTTATGAAAATGATAATTTTATTAGCACGCATATTTTTTAAAAAATTACTTATATTTTACATGGGCACCCAATTTTTGATTTATCCCACATTTAGTTGAGGAAATTTAATAGGAGTTTAGACTAAATGAGGATAACCATTCAGGACAAACATTCGACAAACCTTTTATAAAAAAAAAAACTCACTCATGACTCAACCCTTAAGTTTTAATGCTGTTACATTTCAAAATATTAAATTATAGATTATTGATTAAGCTAAATTATCTTTTTACTGGCTAACGGGTTTCATGTTAAATGACTATTTAACACCACAAATTGATAAGCATGATGTGCCTATTATCTTATATATGTCAGTGTCAAATGAGAAAGAGGGACTCAATTTAGGTGCTGATCTTAGGATAAGCACCATGTGCTTAGCATCAAAACACTATCATTTGACAGTGTTAAATTTTTTTTCTTTTTTTAAACCACAAATTCATTATTATAATAATAAATAAACATTATAAAATTATTGTTTTAATATTTAATAAAAAAATAAATATTAAGATGTTAAAATTAAACTTAAATAATTTAACTCATTAAAATTTAATTTGAACAGTTCATATATAAATTTTGGTTTGAATAGTTCAGAACTGTACCAAAAAAATTAAAATTGTAACTAAAAATATTTTATTAATTTTATTAATTTTGTACAATTGTCTATCTATGAGAGGTAATACCATTTAAGGTATGGTTGGGTACTAAATAAAAATATTTTTTTAACAAAAATTCAAACGTTTATTTATTACAATGTTAAAAACTAGCCCATTTAATAAACTCAATTCTTATTTTAAACTCTTTAGATCATTTTTTTAATTTTTCAATATAATTTTGAACTGTTTAAACCAAAAAATTTATTTAAACTATTCAGATTCAATTTTAACATCTTGATATTTATTTATTTATTTATTAAATATTAAAATAATAATTAGCTAATATTTATTTATTATTATAATTATGAATTTGTGGTTTAAAAAAAGAAAAAATAATAATAATGGCAGTGTTATGGGGCCAACGAAATCGAGTCCGAGAAAGAATCAATGAAGAGAAGTGGATGGTTCATTGTGGTCCCCGTAATTATGAGATTACTTGATATTACTTTTAATTTATTATTTTGTGAACTGATGTTTTATAAAATATATTTTAAAAATAAAAATAATAATAAAAATAAATATTTTTTTATTCTCTTTTATTTTTTAAAATAATAATTTCAGAATACTTAAAAGTTATTTATATTTTTTTATTTTTTAAAATAATATTTTATCTTATTTTTATTTTTTAAAATACTTTTTAAAAATACGATATCAAATAAATTTTTTATTCTCTTGCTTTAAAGAATAGGAAAATATTTTTAGAATAAATTTTCAAATAAGCCCTGTATGTTTCTACTCTAAATTCGATTCTATTTGAACATCTAAGCTTTTTTCCATTAGCTTCTTTTTTCTTTTTAAATTTTTCCAACGTTGGTCATATATTACAAAATATTTTTTTTTTGAATTCCTTAGTAAAACCGAGTTTTTATATGTAAAAAAATTCATTACTTTTTTCTCTTTAAAGAGAGGGAGAATCACATTTCAGGCCTAAGAGCCTTTGTTGTAATTTTTTTAAGAAGTGAAAATATAAATTTGTCTTCAATCAAAATGAAAGAAACATACTGAAAGTAGTAGAATGATCAACTTGACACGCGTGTATATTTGGTTGAGAATGTATAAATATTATGTTATACATTCATGAATATTGTGTTATATATTGTCTGTATAAGTTATATGTTTTATTAAATCTATTAATCAACTAATTATACATGGATATTGTGATGAAAATTCATGAACATTGTGTTGTACACCCATGAACATCATGTTGTACACCCATGAATATTATGTTAGACATGCTTTGTGTGACTTGTATACTTTAATTAACCTACAAATCAATTGAACATGCATGAACATTCTGTTAAAAATTTATGAATATCATATTGTACATCTATGGACATTGCTTTGTACATTATTTGCGTAACTTGTATATTTTGTTAAACTCATTGATCAACTTGACATGTATGGATATTTAGTCAAGAATACATGAATACCGTGTCGTGCATTCATGAACATTATGTTGTACATTGTCTGCTTAATTTGTACATTTTTTTAAAATCTACTGATTAACTTGATATGCATGTACATTCAGTTAAGAATGCATGAACATAATATTGTATATCTATAGATATTATGTTATATATTGTCTGCGTAATTTGTACATTTTATTAAACATATTGATTAACTTGATATGTATGGACATTCAGTTGAGAATGCATAAACATTATATTCATGACCATTGTGTTGTACATTGTTTTCGTAATTTATATATTTTATTAAACCTATTGATCAACTAGATATGTATAAATATTGTGTTGAAAAATTATGAATATTGTATTGAAAATACATGAATATCGTGTTGTGCATCCATGAGTATTATGTCATATATTATTTGTGTAACCTGTACATTTTATTAAACATATTGATCAACTGAACACACATGGATATTGCATTAAGAATTTATAAATATTGTGTTGAGAATACATAAACATTATGTTGTATATGCTTTGTGTAACTTGTATATTTTAATTAACCTACAAATTAATTGGACACATGTCAACACATTATGTTGAGAATTTATGAATATTATATTATACTTCATGGATGAAGGTTTTGCACAAATTCTGAGTTTTCAAATCACACAAGGGAAAAATCATACCTTTGCTCCCAAAAAAAATTACAACAAAAGCCCTTAGACTTGCAGTGCATTATCAAAATTTATTAAGCCCAAAGTATAAATTATTTTTTAGGGCCTGCAATGCAATTCTCCTTAAAATAAAATTATTTATACATAACTTTATCTTTTTTAAATTTATGTTTCATTTTTAAAAATAACAAATAATGATTAATAATATCAACAACTAATTCAGCTAGACATTAGAGTTATGAGAAGATACATCCTATCTCAATACATAATCATATTGTGATAGAATTTTGCATTGGATAAATTATAATCAGGTTTTAAATAAGAAAATTAATTATTTTTTTAGCTTATTTACAATTTAAACTTAAATATTTACATATTAAACTTCAGAATTTACAAGTGGATGAGATTTATATTAATTTTTTTATATAGGGTCTTATGTGTAATTATACGTTTTGCCTGTGAACTAACTGACAAATTTACGTGGCTGCACAAAACTAGCAATACATCACAGCTAGATTTCCTCCATATTTCATCCCCACTAGCAATTTCTCCAACGGCCAAACAAATCTATTCTGGGTTTTTCCGTCACATTCCGTTCTTTCTCTCTCGCTCTCTGATCTCTAATGCAATAATGGGTGATTGGATCCGTAAAAAACCATCGTTCAAAGAGATATGCAAATCGCTTGTCAGAAAAAAGCGTCGCGATAAGTCCGATGTAAGTAATTAACCTCTTCTATTTCTGCATTTTGAGGCGTTCGTTTCGTCAAACATTTCAGAAAACACATCTGAATCGCCTGGATTGTTGCTGCAAACCATTCTTAATTCAGGGCATTTTCATGCTTTTGTATGCTGCATTTTGTTTGATGTGTTTGTATCAAGTCATAATGCAATATTTCAAATTGTATATACATTTTGTCATTGAAACTCAATACTAGATATTCTGTTAAGACACTGCACTACACATTCTTTATTTTGTGTTGCATTACGTGCTCATGCTTCTTTAAGCAATAATTCCGGTCTCCAGACATGTACATGAAAAGAGAGTAATACAAACAAGTGTGATTGAATATGAGGTCTAATTTCTTTCTTTATCCATATATATATATATATATATAATCTCTTATCTCTCTGATATATGAAGTGGCTACAGATGATTTGGATTGAACAATTTCACCCTCACGAGTTAGTGGAATTATTTTGTTCACAATGTTCTTTCCCTTCTCTAGTGTCTGAAATCTTCAAGGGATTTTCTCATTATGTTTGATGTAACATATAGCCAATGACAGTTCCAAGTCGTGAGGTCGACGATCATCATCATAAAGGAGCGGATGAGAATAAATTCTTAAGCAAAACTTCAAGTAAAAGATCCAAAACCCCAACACCAAGTATATATCACTTGTCTAGACATCCAAGCAGGAAATGCACGACACCTACACCTTTCTCAAGAAATGGAAGCGTTAGAACAAACTCTAATTCTGATATAGAAGCTTCTACACTATCAAGAATTATGAGCAGAAGGAGGGCCTCTGCAACTGCATCGACGAGCCCTTTGGCTTCTCCATCAGGATACATGAGCAGCAAGTGCATCTCTGAGCCTCAAACTCCAAACCATTCAGCCTCTCCATCAAAAGATGGGGGTTCATCATCTCTGTCTAGAAGCACCAGTGGAAGGTCCACAACACCAATCATATTCTCACAATCAATAGCGAGGCGAAAATCCCAACCGGTTGAGATGAAACTTGAGTGCACCCTTGAGGATTTGTGCTTTGGATCAGTTAAAAAGATCGAAATTACTAAAGATGTTATCAAGCATCCCGGGTATGTTTCTGTTATTGTGATCTTCTTGGACATTTTGAGAAAAGAGTCGTGTTTATCTTAGACTTATTTTAGACATAAGATGACAATCAAAATTTAGAATTACACATTGGTACTTGAACTTTTATTGTGCAGTGTCTAGGTTAGGTTTTAACCGATTTCAAAGTTGCAGTGATGAGCGATGACAATATGGAAGGAAAGAACAGTGATGTCCTGTTTATGTCTGTGTGCATGCTTTTTTGGGCAGCTTCCCATTATATAATCTTAATGAAGGGAAATTTCTCGGGTTACTTTGACATTCACAAATATTGAAACAATGGAAATTTAGGCAGATATGGAATATTGAAGATTTCACTTTTGCAATTATCAGCAATGATGACAATTTAGGGGGGAATGCAATTGGTAGCTGCTTAGAAATTTCGTAGGTTGCTGAAACTGCTGTAGCTTGAAATTTCCAACAATGATAATTTGGAAATTCAGGGTAAAAAATGGTATAGGATATTATGAATACTTGAGTAGTGACAATTGGTAAAATCATAAATGCAATTTTCTGAGAAAAAGGAAAGGAGAAACTGCAAGTTCATGCAGAGTCTTAGAAGAATTACACCTTAGCTTGATTTTGTGACAGGATCATTGTGCAAGAGGAGGAAATACTGAAGATTGAAGTAAAACCAGGATGGAGAAAAGGAACAAAGGTTACATTTGAGGGAAAAGGTGATGAGAAACCTGGATACCTTCCTGCTGATATAGTCTTCTTGATTGATGAAAAGGACCATCCTTTGTTCACCAGAGATGGTGACAACTTGGAAGTAAGAGTTGAGATTCCTCTGGTGAAAGCACTCACAGGCTGCTCCATACCCGTTCCTTTAATAGAAGGAGAGACCATGGCTGTGTCATTTGAGGATACTGTCATACACCCGGGATATCAAAAGGTCATTGAGGGGAAAGGCATGCCTGATCCCAAACAAGATGGAAGAAGAGGTGACCTCCACATTAAGTTTCTCATCAACTTCCCCACACAATTAAGTGATGAGCGAAAGGAAGAAGCTGCTAGTTATCTAAAAGACTGTAGTTAATTGTTTTTTTCTTTGGCCTGGAAAAGGATTGGAGTTAATACCAATGTTTTTTCCAACTATAATATATGTTGGCTTTTGATCTCCTTTTTCTTAGAATAGGCCTTTAGCAACATAAATTTGTAAACACTTAACAGTACAATATAATTTGTTTGGTATATTATCATGTGGAATAATATCTAAAAGTGTCAATATTAATTATATTTTAAATATAAATTTTTTTAAAAGTTTAACTGTTCACAAGTTGTGTATATTTCACTCATTTATTCAATTTTGTGAAATGCACGGACCCTCCCTCACTTAATAAAATGGCATCATTAAATTATTTTTCCAAAAATGTTGTGGAAATATTAAATCACATTTTTGGTTGCCAATTTTTGTAAAATAGTAATTGTATTTGTTATGATATTTGATAAGTGAATTAGTTAATAGTGTTTAAAAGATCTAGCAAAAAAAAAAAAATCCATCTTTAAAAAATACTTGTACTTATGTGATGCATTAAAAGCAAAACATGTGATAATATATTGAAATATGTCTGCTTAGCTGAACATATACTCAATGATAAATTGTTTTAAATCGACATTTAATTCATCTCTTTTTTTTTTTTGTATGAGAGCCTTTTTTCACATGGGCCACCTAATCATTGTAACCGTACATTACATTTGATGTACTGGTGAATCAATTTTCAAAAAGTTGACTTAATTATCATTGGTCTCTTGACTATTCATTGCTTTTAATCTAATCTCTTTTCCATTTTTTGTTTGATTTAATCTCACCTTCATTGAGTGTCAAAATAATAATAAAGGAAAATATCATCTAAGGACCTATGGAGAATTTTTATATCAAAGAAAAGTCTTAATAATCTAAATTTTATGATAAAAGATTTAATTATCTTTAAGATTTTATGGATGCATAAATAAGCATCCATTCAAGTTTTGATAGATAATTATATGTAATTAATAACTCTTAATTCGAACAAGTGGTAAAAATTAATAGCACATATTTAATTATAAAATTATTAATCTTGCATAAACAAGCAACCATTTGCATTTTGACAAGTAACTTTATATAATTAACAATTTATTTAGAATTAATAAGTGATTATAATTGATAATACAAGTTTAATTGTACATGTGTTGCTCTTGCATGAACAAGTTTATGTTCAGATTTTGACAAATAACTATATGTAATTAATAATAATTCATTCAAAATTAACAAGATGTCACTATCATTGATATCACAAGTTTAATTGTACAAGTATTGACCCTATATAAATAAATATTCATTTAAGTTTTGACAAGTAATCCATACATAATTAAAAACTTATTTAGTTATTAAACTTTAGAGTTAATTAGATCTTTTTTTTTTTAAATCTTATTTTCATATACGTGCAAAGGAAGTGCAATGAAATTTTAGATTTTTAAGGTCCTTCTTTGATATAACAAAGAGTCCTTAGATGATGTTCCTGCCAATTAATGAAAACAGTGAAGATTAAAAGGACAAACCTGGTACAAGTTGAAACCAAATAACAATTCTAGCCTAAAATAAAATAAAATAAATAAATAAAGGAACCAAATTGGCAGCTGAACTCAGTAGTATTGATCTGTCAAACGTCGCTTACAACAAAAAAATTGTCATATCAGTAACAGAACAATTTTTATATAGTAATGACATACACTGTCACCCGCCAAGCCACTAAAGATGGATTAGAGAGTGACTCTTGTTCTACATACAACTCCAATGGAATCCATTAGCTGCAAGCTATTTACTTCATTTTCTAGCCGTGATATCTGTGAGGGTAGAGTTGAAGGGGAGAGAACTTGAGAATTGAGAACCCAAGAGCTTGTAAGTGTAGTCCCCAGAAATTCAACATGGTAAGATCAGCCATTGTCCAGCAATATATATATACATATATAGACCATATATTATATACACTTGTTTTTTACATATATGTTTTCCTTTGGTCCAGTCACTTACATCACCCCTGTACTACAAAGAAGTTCTTCACCTCAAGATCTCGAATATTCAGCCGCTATGTACCATTCCGAGTCTAGCGATTTTCACGCGCCGGTTCAACAAAAACTTGTCCTTGATCTCTGACATCTCTGAACATGGAAAAAAATGAGTTGAGACCCTCAGAAGAACCTCCCAGGATCCATAGCAACAAAGAACTGAATGAGTTCATGGATCCGGGATTGGTATCGGCCTCTGGTTGTTGAAGGTCTGGTTGGCCAGGAAATGGCACTGGGTTGGCTGTCCTGTCTGGATTATTTTCTGACCTTCCCTGAGGTTCGGTAACTCCTGGTCTATTCTGAGGCATTAACGGCTCCGATACAGGCCTGAACCCTGCTCCAGGGGCCAAATCTGCATTAACCATTCCCTGGTTCCTTGTGTTCAATCTTGTGATGTGCACTGTTGATGCAAGGATTGTAGAGGAGGTGATGTGAAAATCTGGGTGTTGCTGGAGTTGCGATCTTCGATTTAGCATAAACCTTTGCAATGCAGGTAGCTTGGAACATACAATCCAAGTCAAATAAGCAAGCATGACCATTTAGTATAGTGAGCAGAACGAAGGCTTCTAAAAAGTAATAATATTGTAATAGAGCTTTTGTTTTCAATATAAATAAGCCATTAAATGTCACCTCGAAACGATTCCAAAAATATAGAATAAGGTGTTGCATAAAAAATGCAGTCGTAGATAGAGCCAAATATGAAAACCCTGGAAAAATTTTAGAAACAAATTATTTCCAGCTAGCATTAATTTCAACCAAACCACAACAAGGATTTAAAAAAAGTAGAATCATCGTACCGTAAGCATAAGAGAAGAAATATATATGAAAGACCAGAAAATACATCAAAAAGAAGCGAGGAAAGAACTTCATTGATATCGGTGTCCGGGCACTGCAAGTAATGACAAACTCAGTAATATTAGAACATAAAATCCGGGCACAAAATGTACAGATATGCACGGAAGTAAAACAGGCCGGATAGAAACTTTGTACCTAACGAGAGTAAACAGTTCACACAACCAAACAAGAATCAAGACTGTGAAAGCAATTAGCTGATCGTCATAAAACTCGAAAAGAAAAAACAAAACACCAATCATAATCTGCAGAGTTCAACAAGTGACTTATCAGTAAAGATAGTATAAAGAGAAATAACATGATATCGCAGCAGTTATTATAGAAGATGTTGAGAAAAGTCAACGAGGGTGAATGCTTACAGGTACAAAGACCAGTGATTCAATCACATGTACAAAGATCAGCTGAAATGTTGGAAGGCGATGCTGAGCATGGTGTTGAAGCTGGACTGAAAAGATTTTTAAAAGTGAAAAAGCCAATCTAATGTGCAGAAAAGAATGACAAAGACCATAAAAAATTGTGCACCATTAGATGAATGTCATGGGAGACTCTTCTTTCAGTCAGCATACTAGATCCAGAAATTTTAGTGAATGAAGGAACTTCTGAATTTTTTTAATAGAAATGAATCATCTTGAAGATAGATCTTCTAACCATAGAGGTAATAATCATTGATAACCCTGACCATCTAATCATGCGTCTAAGTTTACTTTAGGTAAAAAGTTGTAGACTGAAACCAAGCGATTGATTCACATGCCTATAGGCTGAATGAAATGATAGATGCAAGCAGGAATCGCTAATCAGAATTCACATGATGAAAAATAATCTCTAAACAGAAAAACAGTACACACCTGTAAACTTCAGCATACGAGTCTGTGTCTCTCTCAACGTAAATGATACTGACATAGTGGTTGTGAAAAATACAAACAACGACATCATAAGCACCCCACACTTGGTTACTAGGTAGTCTGCTTGGAAAAAAGAAGTGCACACATTATGACGAGTTCCAAAACCATGAGGAAGAGGTCTTTCGATATACAAAAAGACTCCTCAACCCTAAATGCTAACAATCAGAGTAGGCACAATATTTCATTCATGATGAAAGAAAAACAGGAAAAAATTAAGGCAGATTATTTTTTCAAAGTCACTGAGTACTGATGATGGTCTTTCCAAAGACATTGCATAGCTGGTGCTACTAGGGTCTAGGGGTAAATCTTGATCTACAGGATATTTTTATTCCAGAACCCAAACATGGACTGCCCTACATATTTTATGACTTGAATGGTAATTGGATGATAAGGGAACTCAGTGATCATACGACATGCTCATTAAATTATATCTACTCTAAAATATGCAGCACTGCAACATTCATTTCTTGTGTTTTAATGCGTCTTCAACAATAAATTATCACTGCAATGTTGATAGCCAAAGAAGTCTTCAGCAAATTTATTCATACCATCCAAGCCTAAACTTAGCAGTGGAAAGACTAAACATAATAATCATTGCAACATGATTGCAAAAATTAGATTTAAGCATCCATTTCTACTTTAGCTTCTAATAAACTAAAGAATGTCACCACGCAAACAAGGGAAAATAACAGAATCGAAGTAAGTTTTGACCAACTAATGCAATCCCTATTTATGGAAAATGCTCCGTGAAGTAGAAGAAAGATAAGTCAACAAACCTCCAAATCTAGCAGGACCTTCTGGAGGTGCTTGTGCATAACTAAGATTATAAAATTCCTTTGTTTGATAATTATAAAGATAACCTGTCAAAAAAAAAAATCCCAAAACCATGTTAGCCATAATTACTAAATGAAACTTCAAATTTGTGACAGGTGGCAAAGAGAACTATGGGTTGTTTGATATTGGCATATTTTGTTGCTAAAATTATGAAAACTTCCTTATATTATTTGCAAATTTTGTAAATGATATTAGTATCAAGCAATTAAATACAATATAATAACAATAACAATAACAAGGAGAAGAGGCAGAAAAATGAGGTAGCATGATTTCAGACAATTACACCCTTGTTTCACTTCATATTTGATATTTCTAAACAGAATTAATTAACACACGCAGACAATTATATTCCATACAAAGGTTTATACAGAGAAAAGGGGGTTACCTTGACTTGAAGAAGTTAACAAACTATTCATTAAGATGGTATCATACCCAACAACTTTGTTTATGAGTAGCTGCTGCCACCTGGGAAAAGAAAATAGAAAAAAACAATAAATCAACTCAATGCATGGAAAAGATTTTAAATAAATACTATAAAGACTGGGAAATGATAGGAAAATTTTCCTTATCAACAAACAATTTGCAAATCTTGGTGACA